GGATGATGGGACGCAGCCGCCGGTAGAGCGGCTGGGGTGAGCTGGGAGCAGTCAGTCACTGGTTTGTGGTGGCGGTTTCCGGTGTCAAGAAGATGCGGATGGGAAGAAGAACACTGTGGCATTCACACTTTTGGCAAAAAAGAAGAAGAAAAACACTGAATCTAGCAGCCAGCTCAGCCAGCTGGGTTCTGCTAGGTGCGGAATAGATATGCTATACTTTATAATGCAATCACGGTTGAACTGGGATATCTTTTGTATCTATCAAGAAATATTTTATATGACACATTTTTTGCTCCGGTAATGCTGTATTATGCGCTGGTTTTGTGATGCCGTCTGTTGAAAATCAGATATGCGACATAAATTTGAACCGGCGGCGTCATCCAGTGAATCACGCCAGAAGTGTCCACTCTTCACGAAGTACTGATCGTCGCCGAGGCCCTACCCGCGCCTCTTTTGGAACTCCTAACAACTCTCCAGTTGGAAAAAAGCTGCCACATTTGTTCTGGAAGCACCGTTTACAATGATTATTTCAGCTCGGGATTTCAAATCCTTTCAACAGCCCATGACCAAAGTGTACTCAGACGTTGCATCTTATGAAATCGGATCATGGCATGCCGTGCCATTTTCCTTCGTTTATCCAATGTAGAAAGTGCAATGGTCTGACCTTTCAAAATGGCGCCTGCCGAGAACGATAAGACGGTGTACGGAAGTCGCTCTCAGATTCGCCATTTTCAACACGATCAAACGAGGGAGCTCCCATGCTATCCCGGATAAATGCAGCGCCCGTTTCTCTAGTCTTAAACGCATAAAGATAAAAATGTTTTTTTTGCAGAAGCTTATTCATACTTTTCCGATACTTTTTAGAAGAAGGAAATAACGCAGAGCAGACGTACGCACAGGACAGCCAACGACGGGAGTTACATGGCATCATCAGTGCTACTGGCCACTGTTATCCTTCCATTCCATCGCTGTGGGAAACCGCCAGTCGCGGCCCTATCGCGTGTCCCCTCTGTCCTCCGACCGACGATGAGCGAATGGTGAGTCGGAGTCGGAGTCAGAGTCGGGGTCGAAGCAGCTCGTAGTCGTGATAACAAGCGGCGAATCAAAGACGGAGTTGGCAGTTGGTCGAACATCATTCTCTTGACTCTTCGACTCCACATCGCTTGAAAATGTAATCGTTTCCGAATCGCCGTTTCCAGGCTCATGTTGTAATTGTTGTAGTGTCGAGCGATTTGGATAAAACGACATACACACTGATTAACCCTCGCGGGCCCGGGGGGGGGGCGTTTTTCGCCCCCCCTGGCGAATATTTGCGATAGCTCCCGAACGCTTAGGCATAGGAAAGCGAAACTTTCAGTACCTTTTCTCCCATCAATTTGACATCTTCTGAAGTAAAAAAATTGGACCTAGCCCCATTGATGACGTCACAAGGTCTATTTTTCTAGACCCCTGCACGGCAAACTTCGGCGTCACAGACGCAAACTTCAAATAACTGCTAAAAATAGAGTTTTAGAGATAAAGACAAATTACGAGCACGGTTGTGTAGCGTTTGACCTAGAGAAAAATAGAAAAATAGTTTTGGTGACCTGAGGTCAGAGGTCAGGTCAACGACCCCGAAATGTGGTTTTAGTTTTTCGAATAACTTCGACAGAAATGGTCCTAGAGCTACGGCAGTGGTACCATCGCATTCGCCTTGTCAAGCCGCGTCGAATGATATATATTTTGTTCGGAAAAGGTCAAGTTTTATGTTGACCTCATGTGACCTCGAATGACCTCTGGTTGACCTTGACACATGAAAGGTCGTTAATGATGGATTTGTACCCGCTGATCACGAATCTGGCATCTATTTTCCTCTTAGCCTTCATTTAGAGCTTCCGGATGGCAAAATTGTCTTATTTATTATTACTAACTTGAATTAGTGAAATAGCCTCTAGCAGGGATACTCTTCAGTGACCTTGACCTTTGAGCAGCCTTGTATCGTAAGATGAACCACAAATAGGAAACTGATAAACCTCAAAACATTTCAAAACATCTTGGAAGTTAGCACGCAAGATGTGCGAAAAAGTGCCAAGTTTGAGGTCAATTTTGAGCGTGACCTTGACCTTGACCTTTCTTTTTGAGCACATTTTCAGAATCCTCAGATTCTCTTCTTTCGTTTGACACCCAATTTTGCCGGTTTGATGCCGCCTACCGTCTTCTAGAAGGCTTACTTTGAGATCACTACACATGTGCCGGTTTTTGCCTTTGACCTTGACCTCTGACCTTGAAAATTGACCTGAGGTCAAAAATTTTAGGTGCTTTAGAATCGTCTCGTAAGGACCTTTCGTTTGGTATCGCTTTTGTTTCCGTAGCTCCCTTATTTACGGAGTTAGACAGGGGGGGGGGCGAAAAACGCCCCCCCCGGGCTGCGGTGGTTGGGATTACCCCCCGGGCCCGGCCGGGTTAACCCTCGCATGTGTGCGCGTTTGCCAGCTTCTAATGTGTAGGGGGGGGGGGTCGGTTGGACCCCCCTTGCCGTTTGGCCCCTGATCGAGCTAGAGCTTCGCGGAAAAAACGAGCGTGTTGCCCGTGACAAGAGGAAGCCGATGATACCCAATTTTAAGGTCCTAGGTCATTGGTTGACCTTCCAGGTCAGGTCAATGACCCAAAGTCGGGAAAATTGGGACCTATTAGAAAGTCGTGAAGTGTGGCTGCTAAGGGGTTTTTCGGGGTGCTGATCACGAATATCGTGTTAGTTTTGATCACAGATGATGTCTTTAAGCATTTAGACCAGGTCGGGTCAGGTCAGGTCAGGTCAACCAGTAGGCGTCGTGACGGGTATTCGTAGTACGTGTCAACCGCCTCTGACAGCTCCGTAACATGTTACGAAGGCACCAAAACTGCTTCGTAAATGTTCAAATGGTTGCTAAATTCGAATTCAGCTCCAAAAACTAGCCTAGAAACATGTAAAACTCGAAAAAGTGAACCGAGGTCACCCGAGGTCACCAAAGGTAAATGACATGACCTGACCTTCAGGTGACCTTGACACCCACCCTAATGCATGGGAGTAACATCAAATCACATGTTTGAACGTTTGAAACCACGAAAAGCTTGCAAACGCGCGGCTAATGCGTGCCGACGTACGCGGAATCGCGATTCCGGCCAAACATGGTCTCGGAAAAGAGGTCACAGGTCAAAGGTCATTTGGGTCAGGGTCATGAAATTTTCAGGGTCGGTGTAAAATTGATCAATGCGAAGGTACTGAAAGTTTCGTCGCGATCGGCTGCTTTTTACGCGAGTTATTCGCGAAAAACCATGGGGGGTCCATCCGACCCCCCCACCCATGCGAGGGTTAAGATGTGGTATGACTTTTCAGATAAGGTCATACCGTAACCATATCGCCAAATTTTCAAACTGATCTTTGCAAAATTCTTCGGCCTGGTATATTGTGGCAAAATGCTTTTTTGCCACAATATACATGTTTACCAATGTAGAGAAAATCACGATTGGAAAGCGACGCGAAACTTGATATATTTTGTCTCACGCATCAATGCTTGCATTGTGTATAAAAATTGTTAATTAATCTCGGGCTATCAAAGATCAGGTCACTGGGCATTGCCAAGTAGCATGCCTCTAAAATTCGAGTTTTACGATCCTGTTATGCCTATAGCTTATCTCTTACCTAGAACTTAGAAGTTTGAAACTCTATGCATTGAGAAAAGTCAATAGCCGTTTTCAGGACGGGCTATCTCGTGAAAATACCGAACTTGACCAAATCTTACCAAATGTAATTTACAGTAAATAATAAATTTCTTCATATAATGAATTTATTTCAACATTTTCATCGAAAATAAGGTCTGATAATTTAGTTGATAATAGGTACCTTACTCAGGAATATAAGCATCTAGGGTGAACCAAGCTGGAAATTAATAAGAATCAACAACTATGAGCTTAAATTGACCAAATTGCACCATATGTGACCAAATTTGTACCAGTTATTAGTCGTGAAACAGAGCATGCCAACAAATCGAATATCTCGAATTTTATAAGCTTTTGACCTGACCTCAGGTGAGACTTGTGACCTCACGAATAAAAACAATGAGGGGACAGTGCAAATAGTTCATGCATTTATAAGTACGTCCAACGATCACTAACATATCCACCCATATTCCATGAATAGGGTGCAGCTGGTTACGGTCAGGTCAGTCTTCACGGTAAGCGCCCGACGGTCAGTTCTGACGACAAATACGGCTTTTGACAGCTGGACCCCTGGACGTTGAGCCCCTGGACCCCTTTGATCGAACGTTGTTGTCTCTGGACTGGCCTAGGAATGGCAAAGGCCGGAAGTATTTTAGTCATGGTTTCGACGCTTTTCGCAAATCGCACACCGACACCGACACGGAGACAGGAGATGAGTTATAGAGCGGAACACGAGACAGCCCGTTCCCCAGCCAAAGTTCACTGGCGTGACCGGTGCTACATTCCGTAAAAAAAACATCGAATACCTACCTACCTACCGCATAGATAATTTCCGAGATGAGCAATGCCACCCGTTCTTTATTGGTTTACCGATGCAACACTACAGCGCTTCCCTTACCAGATGGGAGAATCTCGAACCACTAGTTATGCCACCCGTCACTAGATGGCACTGTATGACCCCCCAGCTGGCCGTAGTAGTTCTTTACTTTCACCGACCGTAGTAAACGCAGAAGGTCATTGATCGGTGCCGGCCGGCCGGCATTTAAACCGATGTAAACAATCAGTATTTTCTGAAACCCATTGAAATTTTCAACTGAAACTTACAGTAAAACGTAGTCTATTCGTTAGTTTTCTCATGTCGTCTTAAAAATCTTATCAAAAGGCATAAAATACCTTGGTTTTCTTTGTTCCTAGATGCCCCTACCGGCCGGCCGGGCGTCAGCCAATGAGAAAAATGGGTCAGCTGAGCGGCGGCCAATGAGCGGCCGGCGCGCGGTCACGTGGTTTTGTTATTGTTGGTCAGCTGATCGGGCCGGTGCGCCGGCTCTCAGCTGATCGGGGGCGGGGACGCCAGGCGCCGGCTGCGTGCCCAGCAGACAGCCGGTGACCGTCGTGCGGTGAGGGCGTGTGTGGGAGCTCCGGGGTGGCGCACACGGCCTGTGACCGGCGTGGCATGTGAGAGCGGTCCGTGACGCGGCCAGCAGCACCTCATCGTGTAGAGAGAGACAGATCCGCCAGCATGTCGACCGGTAAACGTATCGCCAAGCGCTCGATTCTCGGCACGCGCGTGGCCGCCTGCCGTGTGGATGGACTTTACCACACGGGTGTGATCTGCGGCACAAAGGTGGTCGACGGCTTCTCGTCACCCCGCTACTCGGTGCGTTTTGACGGCACGCGCTACGTGGCCGAGTTCGGGCCGGACGATCTGGTGGGGCCGGGCTTTTTGTCCGTGTGCGATATTGAGCTGCTGCCCGAACAGAAGGTCCACGTGACGCACAATGGACGGGAGACGGACGGCGTGGTCATCAGCCACAGACCGGACCTGGACGAGGTCTGGGTCGAAATCAAACAGGGATTCGGAAAGGTATGTCAAATTCGTGGCTACCCGTGTCTTCATAATGCAATTGGTTGAGTGGCAATTGACCATTGTCCTGCAACTAGTGTAATGTGTATCATCGCATCATCTTGCCCTGTATTGTTCCCACCTCGAATAAATCACTTTTTTCTTGGCTGTCGCATGCGTTAAAAATCCAGTGTTTTTCAGAACCGTAGGTACTCTTCTTTGTTTGGCACCTCATTCCCCACCATTTATGGGGTGACTTACGTTGGTAATGAACGTGAACTGACCATTTGAGCTTGATTTATTTATATTTAGAATCTGCTTTTCATGAGGGATTTAGATAAATATATTGCATTTGGCGCATTCGTCACCTCGTGTCACAATCTTCTATTCTGCTATTTACATTGTCATGATACCTATGTTCATGTGTTACTAATATTGGGCTGCCCCGTGTCCGTCTGTGTTCTGGGTGTTCAGTTCAGTAGCCAGCTGCAGGTATATCGACCGCAGCCCAAGTAGCCGCCGCCTTATCAGCCCCCCCGACTCCCCCCCCCCCCCCCCGCGGCGTGTCACAGACCCAGCTGTGGCGTCATGAGAGCTCTATCTAGGTCGTCCTGTCGTGGTTAGGGACCGTTAGTTATACCATACCCTGACCAAGCAGTTCCCGACTGTACCACGTAAACAAAACAATCACATAAAGGACCAAACGTTCAGCCGGCAGACAGGCTAAAAAGTGACTGTTCGGTGTTCATTCTTTATCGCTCACGAAACTACTGCCAAGGCCGCGCGAGCGCAACAAGTTGCAATCGAATGCTCCTGACCCAGTCATAACGCCCGTCTGACCTAGCCAATTCATGTCCGAAACGAGCCTCATGGCCGTCTCTGGTGAGCCCACTGGGGAGTGGTAGTGCGAGCTGCGGTCGCGTCTGACCACTAAGTTACGCTAGCTCCGGTACCGCCGCGGGCCATGCGAATCGGGGTCACGCCGACTCTCTACTACGTAGTAAGATCGTATCCCATGAGCTGCGCCAGCCCAGTGAAAGTTCGACCGCCGGCGGATGGACGAGTCGAGCGGTTGGACGGCGCGCGGCCTCTGAGGGCCCCTCCTTGAGTCGTGCTGTGACCGAGCGGCGGGCGACCCTGACCTGGTCAGGTCACTGGGTTAGCCGGCCGCCGCTCGGGCCGCCAGGAAATGGAGCACGCCTCTCACTCTCAGTGGGAGATAAGGTGCACGGGCCCGGCAGTGACCCCGGGTAGATCGTGCTGGAGGTGATTCAAGTCAGAACTCGCCGTCTGATTCAAGTCGGATCGCGTCGGACGGGGTCAGTTGGGACGTGAGCGGACACGCGCCGGCCTTTGCACGCGCGCCGCGGAGCCGGTTCGAGCTTGATGACGAAACTGAGCCGCTGTGCACCGTTATCCGATCGGTAGCCGACCCGGCCGGGCTGCCTGCCCGGCGACCGTCTCTGGGGGAGACGCGTGACACCGACTGTTGCCACTGCTGAGTGCTTGGGCAGTCAGGGGTTTGGATTTGATATTACCCGACACCCGACGCCTGACAACTGCCCGGTGATCTAGCGTCCGCTGCGCTGTCTAATGTGTGCTGATCAATGAGCAGCGAGGAGCACATTGATCAGTGATCAGTGTTCATTGATGTAGGTACCCTCGGTGACAGTCGATTGCTAACTATTTAACGTCCTACAATCTACAGTAAAACGTTCGTGTTTCGTTACGCGCTGTCCAATTCCATTGTCCGTCATCTATGCTGCATACAGCGCTCGTTTTCCAATGTCTCCTGTTGCTATGCGTTCTCCGTATTCATTGCACACTTTCCTCCCCGTTGTCTGATTTTCACCTCTGCACCGTCCACCGCTTTGGACGCCAGAGACACGCAATTCAGACTGGATATGCGTGTCGCAAAGCCAGGGACAGCTAACGGACGCCGTGCAGCGAGTCGAACAATTCATGCATGCACGCGCCGCCCAGTGCAGTGGAGTGACGGCTTAGCGGCGCCGGGTCAGTTCGAGGTCACCCTCAGGTCACGGGATGTTGAATTAGACACGTGACGGGAGAGCGTCACAGGGCGTGGACCGTCACGGACCGAGGAAGTGACGGCGAGCGTAACGCGAGGCACTATAGCGTTACTACGCGTGCGTTACGAAACGCCACTTTCTCGGTGGAGATGTAGTTGAATGCGTAATGACGCCTGCTGCTGACATGAAGCATTGTCTGTTTTCTCGTTTTGGTCCTGTTGGGTTAGATTTTTTGTGGACTTCAACCGTTGGGAAACTTTTAGGATAAGATAAAGTATAATATTGATGTGATGTTCGTTGATAACGTAACCACGCCCAAGCTGTTTTATCGATTGCGTATCTCCTTTGTTTCTCAACAACTGGGCCGGTCTCAAACCATGGGACTGTCCCTGCATCCTTCCTCAGAAAGCCCTGCCCTGAATTCCCGCTCCCAGCAGCCATGACGCCGAACCGGCGACGGTGCAGGTTCCGTTTTCGTCCTTGCAGTTTGCATCACCCGCTATCCGCCTGGCCCTCGCTCCTGTCCTTGCCCCGGCCCTGGCTATCGCCTCGCCCTCGCTCTCGCCGCCTCGCGCCGCCGTCTGCGTGTGTCAGCCTTCTCTGGCGTTACGCAACCGTCCCACATGTGCGTGCGGCGACCGGCTCGAGCTCTCGCTGCTGGGACTCGACAGCGAGCTGTCGCTCTCCGTGGAGAAACCGGTGCCGGCCGGCCGGCGGCCGCGCGTGGCTGACAGCGGCCGCGGCTGCTGCGGCTGCGCCGTCGGCTCCGCAGCTGGTGCAGCCCCGTATAGCTGCCAGCATGTAGGTCATGTGCGCGCCTGGTGCGTGCGCCCCGGCCTCTGCGCCGGGCCGGGGCCGGGGCCGGGCCGACCATCGATCGCATGGCTCCTCTCGTCGAGGCCACGGCGACCGCCTCGGCCTCACGCACAAAGAGACGTGGCGCCGGTGGGCCGACACAAAGACGGAAAAAGATTGGGAGCTCGGCCTGAGTGATGGCTGGGCGAGGCGGGATGCGGTGAGAGAAGAGAGGAGGGGCCGCCGGGGTGGGGCCAGGGATAGGTCGGGGAGGAAGAGATTGATGGAATGGAGTTAATGAATAAGGCGGTGACGCTTGTCGCGCCTTTCTTTATCCGCCTCTTTGACTACTGAGTTTGGAATTCAGATAACATCATTGCCAAAATAAAAAATGTCCCTTAGTTTGCCTAAAGTGCGTTGCTTCAGCCGACAAATCTCACGTAGCTTCGCGACAAATAAACACCTGAGCTGAGCCTTGATGGGTCGTTGTGCCGCTGCCCCTGATGCCATCGCCACAGCTGGGTTCACTGAAGTCGTGAGAGAGGTGCAGGAACGGCCTCAGCCTCGTCCCTGGGTGAAGGTGCACGGCAGGTAGGGATGCCGTGCAGTTGAGGGAAAGGGCCGGACTAGGACGGGTTGGTTGCCGTAGTTCGATCCTAAGCCCCAGCAGGTATCCTCTGCCAAACCTGATACGCAAAAGCCGCACTTTGTCTTGTTCCGATCACCATTCACCTTTACATCTCGAGAAGCCACTTAGAAGAAGTCAGTGCTCTGTGCTCTCACCCACTTGGGTGCAATGAACCCTTCTCTTTCTCCGGGTGTACCCTGTAAGTCGACTCCTTGCCCTTTTGTGACGTAAATTCTTATCAGAAGCGATTGCATGCGGCGTGCTCCAATCGCCAGTCACCCCGGCAGTATCAACAGTAGACCGTTATCCACAAGACCGCTGATGCTTATATAATAGGTAATCGGTGTCTGTCAGAACCGCTAATACTAATTGGCTCTACACAGGATCAACGGTCATTCGACAGATGAGGTCAGAAATCCCAACAGACCACCGAAGCAAGATCTGCAGAAAAAAAATTGTTTTCTGTGCCGCTGACGATTTGCAGGGGTTCGCATTTTTACCGGCTTTCGAGCGGCCGGCCGGCACGTGCCGCGTCCTTCGTGACGTCACTGGGAGAGTTGGTGACGTCACGACACCTGTCTGTTCCGGTTGGTCGGCAGTGGGTGGAGTCAGCCTCGCGACCTTCGCTGGATCCAGTGATAGGCGGTCACTATCGGCTGGGCGCAGCACTGCGGGTGGTGGCTGATTACTGAACCGCCCGCGGGCGGGGCGGGGGCGACTGACGATCATACTTAACGGGCCAGGTGCGAGTGCGGGTCTCCGCTCCCTTCCCCCTGTAATCTATCTCTAACGTTCTTCCCATGCCCAGGTGGTACCTCGTCATTGAATACCTTGGTAACGCCCATACCATTTTCAGTCGCCGATACCTTATCAATGAAGAGCAAACCGTCACCGGCCTAACCTGCCTGATTATGAGGCCTTCGCTGCCTGATTTTAGTCGTGTTGATCCGATAGTAAAGCGGCCGATTAGCGCGATGCGGCTGATTGCGACCCACGCTTCCAAGTTCAACTGCTCATGCACCACCCTGATATAGTATGACGCGGGCCTATTTTAGGACATTTTTTCAATAGTTTGTCATAATGTGTGTCTAATTTGCTCCAATCGGGTTACAAAAACCGTCGAGTTGGACATTTTAACCCAGTTTATGCTACTATTGAGACATCTGTCTAACAAACTTGGAAACATGGAGCTGCGAAACATGCATGAAGACTTGCAAACTTGAGGTAGCCGCAGTAACAAGAGGAGGTCGCAATGAACAATTTGTGTTCCACGCGCGTTCATTCCATGTTTAGCAGCAATTACGGTACACGGTCTCGCAGCGGCTGTGTCAGTTAGCTTTGGGCACACGGCTGTTAAATGTAAATATGTGATTTAGTCGCCATTCTCTTGTCCCGTTGCGGGTCCGCCGAGGTCCGGTAGTGCCACTCCCTTTCCTTCAATTTTCACCTGGGCACGGGGAGGGGCCAGGTTTGGGAAGGAGCAAGGGAAGATGGTGAGGGGAGGGTCTGAGGACACACGGACTGCGGCCTCTCGGATGGGCGCAGCCGGGCGGCCTTGTCAGTGACCAGAGGGCCTTGAGAGCTGCGGCAGCTCGCAGCCGCAGTGAGCTCTCAGCCGCAGCCATAGCCTTGGGGGGAACCAGCTGGTCACCTCCGTCCCTTCCCTGCCCGTCCCGTCCCCATAGACGGCCTTCATCTCCCGTGCAGACTGGTTTTGCTCGGACCGGACACCGACGATATACCGGGATCATGTCAGATATGAGGTATGACCTGGAAGCGGCCGTCCCACCTGCCTCCAAAGCAACCGTCCAAATTGGATTTAGATGAGCAGGTTATGACGTTATTTATATTTAACTTTCACGCACAGCTGCATTTTGCGCACGGTTTCTTTCATGAAAGTACGCAGAGGAGCTCAATGCAATTTTCCTGCAGCCCCAATTACCTTTGTATTACCAAGAGACCGTTCGGGAGAGGTTTTTAAATTCCGGGTAGCGCGCCTGCCTGGCTCCCAGGTGCATTGCGCTCACTGGTGAGGAAAATTGACGCCAGCCAATCACCGGACGGCGCACGTCGACCCGAAGTAGGTCAGCTTCCGCAGCCGCCGGCAAAGCTGCGGAGCTCTCGTACCCACTTCCCTTGAGCTCTCTCTCTCTCTCTCTCTCTCTCTCTCTCTCTCTCTCTCTCTCTCTCTCTCTCTCTCTCTCTCTCTCTCTCTCTCTCTCTCTCTCTCTCTCTCTCTCTCTCTCTCTCTCTCTCTCTCTCTCTCTCTCTCTCTCTCTCTCTCTCTCTCTCTCTCTCTCTCTCTCTCTCTCTCTCTCTCTCTCTCTCTCTCTCTCTCTCTCTCTCTCTCTCTCTCTCTCTCTTCGTCTCTTTCTTTCTTTCTCCCATCCCATCCTCCTCTTCCGCCGTCTTCTTGCGCGCCCCAGTGCTCGTGTCGTTCACAGTTGGGGAATATTGCGTTTGGTAATCTCGACGGGCCCCATGCGGTTCGGTCATTTGTCACAGCGTTCGATTAGTGCTGCTGGCTCTGTTTAAATTCCTGTGACGTAATTATCCCCGAAGCGGACGGATTTTCGGATCATTAGCTCTCGGGATTGTTGTGAGGATCCAAGGCCGGCGCTTTGTTTACTTTTTACGTAGTAGTCGTCAGTGCCATTACCACTACTGTTATTTTGAGTTATCGGGATATAATGTCCTTCGCAGTAATGTTTGATGGTTTGTTGCAACAGAGCATCGTGATATTTTGACAAAACACTTCTAATCACGACAAAATACAACATATGATTGTGTTGAGTGATTTGCACAGCTCAGGAAGGACATCTTATGGTCTTTCCCACTCAAAGTTTGACGTTCGTTGACTGCAGTGACCACACAGAGCTTCCTCAGTAACCCTCAGTGACACCTCGTGACCGTTGTGTCCCTGTCTCCCCAGTTTGAGGTGAAGAAGCGCCTGGACGAGGTCCGTCTCTGGGAAAGCCGCAAGTCGCCGCGACTGATCGACTCCGACACAGACTTCGCCCGGCTCGCCGACGTCGGCGTCGAGAAACGACGATCCCCGGGCGTCGATATCCCGTCGGCTTCGACAAGGTGAGTAACTTCACCTCTTGGGGGTTGCCTGGTGGAGGTCAATGGTCCCAGGTTGAGGTCAGCCCTTAGTTGGCCTCTGTTGATATCTGCTGATGACATCATCTTTATTGGTATGTAAATTTTGTGTTGACTCTTTCAGCATTTTATTACGCGGTTATGCGGGATCTCGTTACCTTCCTGACTGATTCATGCATCCTCACTGTCTTTGATCTTGTGTTCCCTCAACCTACTGATCTATGTTACTGCAACTCCGTACGCCGCGGGTTGCATCACGTACATGGCGGCCTGCAGTGGAAATATTGCATACGCAACTTGATATCTGTGGTCGCAGACCGGCGTAGTGCGGAGCGTGGGACCGTCTGATGCAACGGTTACACCACTATAGCGAACTATTATCACTGCCACCATCGCCGCTGTGGTTACTCGCTGCTGTTATTTGCCACTGTCACTGCTGCTTCTGCTACCGTGCAGTGACCAGGCAAGTTTGAATGGACGGCGCACAAGTGCTCATCTTTCATAATGACATACTTTGCAGGCAATGAGCAGTCAGTTAGTTCAACTTCATACACTCGAGGAGTCACGCTCTCTCAATACGCGCACACTGAAGATTGGCCGAATTATTTCGTCATAACTCTTCTGGAGAGATGGTTAGACTGAACGAAGGATCTCTGTTCCATCATTCACCACTGCTGTAGCCCCATCATCACTAACAAATATGACTAGACGAGAGTCTCTGTTTCCATAGCGACTCGCCACCATTTCCGTCACCATCACTGACATATATGTATCAACTATATGGTCACTGGGTCACCGGTCACACACGTGACCAAGCACCGGTCAGTCTCGGGGCCGCGCGCCGCGAACCACTCTCGCCGTGAGTTGCAGTGTGCAAATCAGTGACCTGGCCAGCCACTGTGACGGGGCCGTCACGTTCAGAATTTCAATCGGACTTTCGAATGGTGTTGAATACTTTGACTGACCGTGTCAGATTTGAGAGTGAAGAGAAAAGTACTCACATAAGCATGTGGTAGACATTAGTCGAGACCGTGGCTGATAACCAACGAAATCAGAAAAAGTGGACAGCTGACTGACATCAGAACAAATAGCTGCGTGAAGCTTCCGCTGGCACAAGTGTGGCAAGAAGCACAATTTTAGGTCAGCTGGCGGCACTTGCGCCATAATTTTGAGATGGGGGGATTTGGGGGGTTGGTTTGAACATTGGGCCCACATGCTTTATTTTGTCAGCTTTTACTAACAGTGGCGGATCCAGGGGGGGGGGCAAAATGGGCATTTGCCCCTCCCAAACGGCATAATTTTAACATTAGGCCTATGGACGAGGCATGGAAAGAATCGATAAATTGTTATGATTTGCCCCCCCCCCCCCCCCCCCAAAAAAAAAAAAACTTTGAGCTGGATCCGCCTCTGTTTACTAAGTCCTGATGGAGTCATGGACACAGTTACTGTTCTCCTAGCAGTTGCTCCCCTGTTGCCGTACAAAAAAAACGTCATCAGTTATGCCAGCTGACGCTGCTCCCACGTCTGATGACGTGCTTTGTCATTATTATTGGCCTGACGTCGACATCAATTTCAAATATGTCTCCTGATCAGATCCTGCTCGTTGTCGTTGTCAAAGTTAGATGTAGCAATATTGACTGTAGCAAGCATAGCAATAAATACACCTCCTCTCCTCTCCTCTCGTCTCCTTTCCTCTCGTCTCGTCTCGTCTCCTCTCCTCTCCTCTCCTCTCCTCTCCTCTCCTCTCCTCTCCTCTCCTCTCCTCTCCTCTCCTCTCCTCTCCTCTCCTCTCCTCTCCTCTTCACTCGTCATTGAACCTGACCCCTGCACCGAGCGACGCTGACCTCCGCTATAGGCTCCGGCAAATAGATCCCGTTTGCCCTCTCCCCTCCCCTCCCTCGTTGCACAGTGCACTGCACGAAGAAGCGGACCTTCACCCCCCCCCCCCCTCCCCGCACCCTTGAAACCACCGACAACACAGCCGTAAACAAACACCGTCATTGTGCAGCAAAAACTCAGCGGTGTGCATAGGCGCGGGAGCCGGGGGGGCAGTGGGGGCAGCTTGCCCCCCCAACTCTGGGGCCGTGGGGGCGGTGCCCCCACAGCTTTGAGACGGAATACCACACTTTTTTTGCAAATGTTTTCTTTTTTTGTTGAAAAAGCCGAGGGGTGAAAAATAAGTGGCCTAAAACCGGTGAGAAAACTAGATTTGGGGGTACCCTAGGTTAATCTCTATTATGGTGTGCCCCCCCAGTCGGAAAGTAGTTCCCGCGCCCTTGGCGGTGTGTGTGCGTGTGTGGTGTGGGATAGATTGGGCGTAGGGGGTGGGGGATGGGGGGAATAGCCGCGGTCCGGCACCACTAACGCACGCGGAGTCGTGATCAGGGAAGGGTGAAAGGGCTCGGTGAGTGTGTGCCGCTGCTCTGTGAGCTTGGTGAGTTGTCGGTGAGTTTGAGGTTGCCCGATGAGAGGCGGCGGAGGCTAATCAGAGAGACTCACTCGGTGAGCGTCCGTTAGCACCTGGTGAGAGCTTGGCCGGCGCTCGACGGCGCCTCAGGGCCATATGCGTGGTCTGTATGTCTGTGTGTGTGCGTGCGGGGTGCATGTTGCGCAACCTTCTACCCCGGGGCGGTTCTGAACGCACGGAGCACACGCATAAAGACCTGCCTCAACAAAGGCTGGCGTGGCGGCAGGGGATGTGTGCTGGTAAAATACGGCCCGTGCAGCCGCCCCGTCCAATTCCGCCGAGCGGAGGGGCGCGGACGTCTGCGCGGAGCTGGGCCGGAGCGGTCGGAACGGCTGAATGTTTGCGACCCTCCTCGGTGAGACTCATTTAGCTAAGGGCTCTTGGCGGAAGGAGCCTACTAAGATGGTTATCGCTGGAGTGATGTGGCATGGGAGGATCGTACAAAACGGCTGAGATGTTTTTTAGGGAAGTAAGAGCTAATTTACTTATGTTGGAAATGATACAAGATGTATGTTACCTGTTAATGATAGGCATGCGCATATATGTGCTTTATACATTTTCACTAGAAATACTCTTCATGAGCGTGGCACAATTATAGCAAAAATGGTCAGATCTCTTTGGCTCGTTTGATTTCCACTCGCTTCTTCTAATTGTTTCATCGCAGTGGATACATTTTTGATAGTTATATAATTGATAAGCACCAGTATAGCGCCTTTTGGGGCGACTAACGGAGCGAGCGAGGGGGTGAGTCTTGCACGTGCGAAATTTCGAGGGGGTACCTCCAACTGACTTGTGCACGGCACCCTACTAACCGGTCTCTAGCGATGTGCCAAATTTGAGCACAATCGGCCCAGCCATTCTCGAGATCTGGAAGCGGCACCCTGCACGTGCGCACGTGCAAAATGGGTCCCGACTGGCTTTTGCACGGCACCCTACTAACCGGTCCCTAACTGTGTACCAAATTTGAGCGCAATCGGTCCAGCCGTTCTCGAGATCTGGAAACGACCCCTGCACGTGCGCACGTGCAGCAGCACCCCAACTCTGGCACATGGATATGCAGTGCCTAGTGGGTGCCTACCTACTTGCCAACTTTCAGCGCAATCGGCCAAGTAGTTACCGAAATATTGCAACAATTGCAAAACTGACACCTCTTCGTTTTGCACGTGGCACGTGCATAAGGGGTCACTCACATGCATCGGGAATAGTCCAATACTTGGTAGAAGGAATGAAGCTACCCTATAAAAATTACCGCGTGTAAATCGGTCAAGTGGTTGCTGAGATATAAGCCTCGCAAAAGCGTCCGCACGGCCGGCCGGCCGGCCGGCCGGCCGGCCGGCCGGCCGCTCATACTCAGAAATTTCCGTTATTCTACGTAAGACTCCGCTCGCTTCGCTCGCTCCGTAACAATATTGTTTCGGTATGGATCTTGCATCGATAATTCAAAGTTGTAGATCAAATCGAAAATAATGCTGTAAGAGTGAATATTCAGTTAAAAACTAGGCAATGTAAAATAGCCTACCTATTTGTCAAATGCCCCCAAAGCATATTTTTTATCCCCGTCCCATGAACGGATGTCGACGCTGCTGTCGGTTACGGCGTTTGTACAAAAACGTCCACCTGTCGTGGAAAACACCTGTGATATGTAGCCTCCCACCCCTCCATGTTCCACCTGCCCCCCCCCCCCCCCCCCACCTTCGCTCAGGCGGCAGGGAGGGGGCTGGGTCACGGCCCATCGTTTCCGCGTGCCGCTGCGGCCTGCAGAGGCCGACCGATTGTGAAACCGGCCAATCTGGGTAACTGGGCTGCGGCCATGAACGAACAGTCGTCCGTCCGCCTGCCTGTTGCTCAAAGCTCCGGACTTTTACTTTTCCGAGCTGCGCCGTCGGCGGCGCGGCGGCGGCGGCAGTGGGAGGAACGTCATTGGTGGAGGCGGTGATGGCGTCACTCTGACGTCATTTTGCTGTGACGCCGCACTGGCGGTGACGTTGTACGTGCGTTGAAGGCGGCGGGGAGGGAGGAGGCATAGGTCATTGTCACCCTGCGGCGGGGTGGGGGGAGCAGGGGAGGCGACAATATCTACGCATTGGTATAGTTCTAGGTATGTGTGGTGCAAAAAAGATCTGGGTGGAAGCTAACGACAAGTGTCAGCATAGTAAATACTCTACGTTAAATATAAATCAATAACACGTTATAAAATAAATTATATAAAACGACGAGCTTCCCCGAAGCCTGGCTCAGTAGACGTTCCTTTTGTCACACAATTCGACGACCTTACTTTCCATATCTGCTTCACGGGTTTTACGCCAATTGTCTCGATTCAGTGATGTTGGGGACCTTACATAATGTTTTCTGACGACGTCGCGGTGTGTCTGGCTTCCGACGTACTACGGAATTCCGGCGTAGTCGGCCGGCTGACGTCATTGGTGACGTCACTGCCGCCAGGTTTTCCAGTCGGTAGATCCTCGGCTGGTATCAGTGAACGGAGATGGTGGAATATCTCGTGACTGCAGTTGACGAA